CAGTATAAAAACCATTACGCCTATGGAGAGTCCCCTCAAGGATAGTGAACCAGACATAACTGGCTTTTCCACCTCAGACAGACAGCGAGGGTTCGGACCAGAGCCATCACATCCATGAGGATGGATTGAGCTGCTGGTGTTATAAGCAGTGGGACTGACACAAACTGACGTCTCTGGCGTCTCCCGTCTGTCGTCCCGCAGAAGGCCGGATCTGACCTTCAGTGTTACAGCAGCTGTCAATCACATGAGGCCTGTGGGCTGTACTGATTGACACGAGGGATGTGGAGGAAACACGCTCACATCTGTAGCACCAACAGTTACACACCAGTGTTTTAATACGTGTTTTTGATCAGATCACTAACTCCGACTCTGAGCAATAGTTAGTGATGCTTAACTAGTAATGAGTCACATCATATCCAGCATTTTTTGGTCTGTTTCAACTTGACTATAATAATAATAATAAGATTATTAGTATTAGTATTATTATTATTATTTAAAAACTATTGTTGTTAATAATAATAATAATAATAATAATAATAAACAAAACAATTAATATTATTATTATTAACTAACAAGTTATTTTGTATTATTATATAAATTATATAAATATAAGAATTATGTTTATAACAACAACAACAACAATAATTTATATTATTATTATTACTAAATAAAAATATTAAACAAATAAAAAAAGTTACCATTGTAATGTTTACAATGGTAACTTTTTTTATTTGTTTAATATTAAATATTTAATTTAATTTAATTTAATGTTTAATGAAAAGAGTATTTAAAGAAATAATATAATACTAATAATATAGTTTTTATCATTAAATTTTTTTACTTGAAATAAAACAGAATTTATTTAAAATAGAAAAACATGAAAAAATATTAAAATAAATGTATTTTAGATAGTTACCGAGGCAACATTTCTCATTTTTCTTTAGTTAATAATGACTAAAGCACCCACAAATTTAGTAAATTATTACTTATATATATATATATATATATATATATATAGTATAATAATAAATATATTAAAATATATATTTTTTTAAATTAACGCAAAAGGAGAATGTGAAGGCCTGTTTGCTATGTGATTTTCTAAATCTATGCAAAAACAACAAAATATGTTTTGATGAATATCTGAGTTGCTCTCTTCCATACAATGAAAGTGATTGGTCACCAGAGGCTGTCAGTCTCCAAAAATGACAAAAAGCACCGTATAAATATCATAAAAATAGTCCAAATGCTATATTTCAGTCCTTGTGACGAGGTACAGACTGAAATTTAACATTATTCACTCTAAATTCACAAAAAAAATTTTTTTTGCTCAACAAAAGAATTTTCATCAGTTATTGTCATTCTATGATAAAGAGTAACTTAGATAATATAAACGTCTCCCTTTGTTTTCCTTGGAGGAAATAAGGTTTGGGTCAGCACGAGTAAATGATGACTGAATGTGTGGATGAACTGTCTTTAAACGTATAGCACGTACTGTATATGACCTTGATTCTGTGAATGGACTTTTTCTGCCTGCTGCGTCTTCGATTCTCTTTCTCTGTCTGTATATATATATATATATATATATATATATATATATTGTAAGGTGA